GGGGGGGGGGGGGGGGACCCATCACGGAGCGGGGGAGAGTGGTTTTCCAGCGGGGTGGGGTAGGGAGGGATGAGGAGGAAGTGGATAAGGAGGGAGGGTGATGTTGGCTGCACGACCTAAAGCGGTGTGTTTGATGCTCGGCGCCAAGGGCAGGTTGTATGTAGTGCGGTATGTATGTGTGTATTGTTTTGCCCCAGTAGTGGTCCTTGGAGAGGTGGCTAGAGCAGAGGGGTTGCAGGGAGGAGCGAGGGGTGTGTGTGTGGAAGCTCTGGATGCAGATCTGGGTTGATAGTTCTCCGTGGATAGCTCCGGAACTGCCGTACTAAAGTGCAGCACCCCACGGGGGGTGCAATGCTGGTGGCGCCCCGGCAGCCTCACCCCACCCCTGTGTGGCCGTCATGTCCTTGGAGCCCTAGTATGACCCCCCCACCCCCCGCCCCTGCTCAGCCCCCCGGCCGCCCTGCCCTGCATGGTGCCACTAACGTTGTCACACCGGTCATATCATCGCCAGCTCCTAACGGCTCTGCAGCTACCTAGAGCAGCAGTTACTCGGTTGCTTCAAAGACTGCTTCCCGTAGCTGATTTCCCGTACATACACGTTGCCTCTTGACTGTTATCCCCTTCACCAGACCCCTCCTCCACCCCACCCCTCCTCCACCAACCCGCCCTCCTCCACACACCCCTCCTCCACCACCCCTCCTCCACCACCCCTCCTCCACCACCCCTCCTCCACCACCCCTCCTCCACCCCACCCCTCCTCCACCAACCCGCCCTCCTCCACACACGCCCTCCTCCACCACCCCTCCTCCACCCCGCCCTCCCCTCAGCCTTCCTCCGCAGCCTACCCCTGGTGGCCCGGGGCAACCTCCCCCGCGTGTGGGAGCGGGTGCCCGGCGGGCTGTGTGAGCCTCTGAGGCCCTTCGTCAGCCATGCACACCCCACCAGGGTGGGGGGCGAGTTCGATGAGGTAGGGGGAAAGGGGGAGGGGGAGGGAACGTGGCGTGTGCCTGTACGAGCACTTGAGAGTGACCGCCGTACTTTTGGGATGAGGTCCATGGGTAGCGCTTAAGATAGGGCCTAAAACCCTAAAACCCTAAAACCCTAAACCCTTGGCGCCCAGGGATTACTCCACGACGCTCGTGATATGCTGGACGCCGAGCTGCAGCAGGATATCCTGAAGCCGGTGGACCGCTGGCTCGAGAGCCTCGATGTGGTCAAGGTGGGTGCTACTTGGGGGAGGGCCGGGGGGAGGGAAGGGGGGAGGGAAGGGGGGAGGGGAAGGGAGTGTACGGGTGTGTGTGTGTGTGGGGGGGTATTTGCAGGGGCCGTGAGGACGGATCACCTGCACATCACCTGCACCTGGATACATACACAAACCAGCGAAGTCTCAGCCGCGGCCTCATATGAATTTATGAGCTTATGGATTTATGAGCCAGGATCACTCACATCGACCTACCCCTCTTTCCGCGGCCCTCCTCATCTCCCGTCCGTCCAAAACCACATGCCATCGCCTTTCCCCCCCCCCCCCTTTCCTCCCCCGCCCTCCCACGCCCTCCCCCGTGCCAGACCCGCATGCGCAAGCTGGAGGGCCTCCGTCTCGACGTGGATGCCCGGCGGCGCCGGGTGCACCGCCGCCAGCTGCGGACTCTTTCCAGGATGGAGAGGCGGGAGAGGCGGGGGGAGGGGCTGCGGGGCCGCAGGAGGCGAGGTGGGAAAGGGCGATTTGACTGGGGGCGGGGAATTATTGGGGGGGCAGTGGGTGTTTTAGGGTTTTGGGGGTTGATGTTGGCCATTGGAAGGGTCAACGGCGTCCAGGAAGGTGTCGTGTAAGCGGCGGTCGTCGTGTCATGACGCGTAGGCGGGAACTCGTGCCGTGGAGCGAGGAAAGGGGTGCCCGGGTCATGTGCTGGTTTGGGATTGTGTAGTATGATCGATGGTCGTACGGAATTCACTGCTGTACGGAGATTTATCCGCATCGCGATCTTGTTTACGCACATAACACACACACACACACACACACACACACACACACACACACACACACACACACACACACACACGCACACGATAATCGCGCGTCTTTTCCCCCGCACGCAACCCCTCCTGCCTCCCGTCGCCTGCATCTGGTGCCGCAATGTACGGCGGCGGCTATGGTGGTTATATATTGCTGTGCCGTATTCGTTGTACGATTCCACACGTACGGCGGCGGCAGCCAGCTCCGCGGGTCCCGGCAGTCGTGTCGGTACGGAGGAGGAGGACGTGAGCACCCTCAGCGGCTCCGAGACCAGTACGGAAGAAGAGTACGAGTTGTCGTACGGCCCGGGCGGCCTAGGTGGCCGAGACGAGGACAGCGTGCGTGCCATTCGCGGGAAGGAGGACTTCATTCGCTCCACTCTCTACTACCAGAGGAAGCTGGCGGGTAGGGCTGTGCTGCTGGCAGGGAACCTCTTAGCTACTACCTAGGTACTGCAGAGCTGTACGAATACGAACCGAGTCTTTTGTTTCAGTGTATTATAGAACATATTTTAATTGAATAAATAATTATACATGTTGAGGGGTCGTAGCTCAAATGGTAGAGCGCCCGCTTAGCATGCGAAGCTGAGCGCCGCAAATAGAATGCGGGAGGTAGGGGGATCGATGCCCTCCGACTCCAAGGACATTATATGTATTTTTCAGCTCCGGTTGTGAGCTTTCCTGTAATGTTGCAGGAATGATCGCCTAGG